ATTATCTTTCAATGAAAAATTGCTGAAAGTTAACAAATTCAGGGGAAACCCCTGTACGTTTTTCCTCATGGATGCACTTAGGTAATGTCTCCGTTCTCGCAACGATGACGTGAACGACGTAGATAATGGGAAGGAAACGAGGAGGGAGGAAAAAGCGAGCGGCAGGTCCGGCACGGTAGAAATGATCAGTTACAAAATCGCGGTCGCGTATTTGCCTTTAATTTGCCGAGCGAATTAACCAGGTATTTGAGGCGGGCAAACGCTATCGCACCGTTACCATCGATGTTGAGGATGGAAGCGATGGAACCGAATATCGGCGGTCTCTCTCGCCGAAATTTAATAATAATTCTCGTCTCCGAAACCCTGCGCGCACATCACCAAATATGACGTCCGCCGATGAATTCCGCGCGTTTTGTATCTATCGCGGCTACGAGACTCTGCAGAGCCGCCTCTCCGCACGAGTTTGATGTTGTCCGAACGGTGACGGAAATTCGAAATAGAAATAAATTATAAACGCGCGCGCGCGCGCGCGCCTCTCTGTTTAAACAGCTAACGAGCCGCACGGTAAAGCCGTACCGTACGAATAGAAACCGCGCGGCGGATAAATAGTCAGAGAATCTCGTCGCTATAAAGAGTGCTTGACGATTGATGAGATAATTAGAAGAAAATCCTTTCCTTTGTGATTTATCTGTCGTATTAGGAAAAAGAGTGGCGCAGAGAGTTGTGCGTCTGCTTTCTGTGCCGAAGACCCGAATTCAAATCTAGCCAGAAACATCGGATTTTTATTCGATCACCATCTCTCCGGCAGGCAAACCACCGAGAGTATACCTTGCCATGAAAATCCCTCTAATTAGGCCGTTCGGAACTGGCGTCAGAACTGTAGGTCCCGTATATCTGTGTAAATTGGACATAGTGCACATCGCAGAATTACGTTGAGGAAGTCACGATGCTCGGATCAGCGAAAATCAATTGATCCTCCTATCAATCCACATTGGCCAGCGTGATAAGGGAATGGTTAAATTTCTCTAGTTTAGATAGGTTAAGAGAGGCTTATATCCAGAAGTGGACGAGAGAAGGACTGATGATGATGATGATGATGATAATGATGATGATGATGATGATTAGGAAAAGGCCGATGCTTCTCGTTTCATCGAAATAACAAAGGCAACAGCCATTCGAATTCTGAAGATGTTACCAAGGGGCATCATGTAATGTTCTTCGATTTAAATGCCTATATCTTATCGTTGCGCCGAAAAGCACGTTAGCAGAATTTTCAAAAATAAATTTCGTTATACCTTGAAACGAATTTTTACACGTTCGCCACGCTTTGGAATTCGGCGAAGCTGCTCGTAAATTCGAGCCGGAAGTCGTTCGTTCCCGGCGTTATAATTGAAACTTTAACATTATACGGCCTCCTCCCCGGCTATTTCCGCGTCTCTTCTGTCTTTGATACGGGCGGGCGCGCGAGACCACATACCGTACCTCGTATAACAGTTTAACCAGCATTCGAATTCCTACGGAATTAGCGCTAGTTCGCCTGTGAAATTTCTCGTTCGCGTTATCCGCGGATGCAGTTCGCCCTGGGAGAAATGGGCGGCGGAGGAGAGAGGGATTGAGGTTTCGGTGCGAGACCACCGCTTACGGTCGCGACGCGGGCGGTGGGGGGGGGGATACCGCGGGCGGATGGGGAGGAGGGTGAATACGGGGGTCGCGAAGAATGGCGTCGTGAATTACTTTTCCAAATGCTCCCGATCCGACTCGAGGCTCTCCTTTCTACCGCGCCCCTTCAGGGTAGAAGCATCCAGAGGTAGGTGGCTCTTCCAATTTCCAGGCGTGCCAACCAGATTGAATTTCTATCGTCTTCGACAACGACGACGACGACGACGACGACGACGACAACGACAACGACGACGACGGTTGGCGGCCGATCATTTCGCGAGATATCGGGTAACTGGGTTATGTTTGCGAAAATGGCTTCGAGCCTCTCGATTTTTCTCGGTAATGCTACCTCTCCGTACCCGGCAACGCGCGTTCTCTCCTTCTCTCGCCTCGTCCTCGCGCGCGACTACGTTCGCCTCGGTCTCCCTCACTCCTCGTTTCGCTTTCTATCTCCTCGTTACCAACTCTCTGTTCTGCCCTCGCGAAACCATCGTTCGGTGAGACGAATCGAATGAATGGGATATCGAAGGATCTCACGTTGATCGACTGAACGACCGCGAATTGCGTCTCGTTGACAACGTCTATTACATCAGATAGAGAGAAGCGGTTACGAAAAGACAGATAGCGTCTCTTCGGAATTTTATTATTATTTCGCGATGCAATTTATGCCACGGGTAGAAGATCTTGAGTTAAAAATTTTAATTTTAAAAGTATGTCAAATACAAGCGTGAAATCGATTCGGAATAATCATCAAACAGACTAAAGCAGTTCATTGTTAAAAGAAACAAAAAAAGCAATCTAAACGTTAAAAAAAGAGCGAAATCGTGAGAAATAGATTGATAAAAATAACACATAGTTTATATTTAATTTTACAAAAAGACCAATCTTTGCTCATTAACATCTAAATCTTTTCCATTTTGTCTATTCTTGCGTCTATGAGATAGGAATATCATCGGTTATTCCAATTTCTCTCAATATGTATATATACCCAAACCGCAGTCATAGCTCGCAACTTCGTATCCGACGGAGGACATGTACAGCGAAATCCGTTGCAAATAGCTCCTGCGGGTGCAGTAGCGAAGTTTGAGAGGCACTTCCTTCATCCCCGCCTGCTTTTCCCTTATATCGGAAGACGAGATCAGAAGAAGAGGTATTACCAAAGCGAAAGAACGGCGGGAAGACTTTCTCCCATCTCACGTCTCTCGTCGTCGTCGTCGACGACGACGACGTCGAGACACCTCTCTTGTCCGGGAGCGTGCGAGCGACCGGTGTGAACTTCGCCGTAGGGGATTATGCAAACGGGAGTGGTTTCTGAGCACGGGAAGAGAGATAGATAGAGAGAACCGCCGCCGCGCGCGTTGCGTCGAGGGTGGATGATGACGGTGACGGTGCCTGGTGGTGGCGATGGCGGCGAGCGGGGCCTCCCTTGCTTGTCATTACCACGTTTGTGGCTTCCACCGCCCGGGGTGCCGGTCGCTCTCTCTGTTTCGAGAGAAACCTGGCGCTGAGGACTGTAAAAAAAAAAAACTCATTCCCTTGGTTTGTACAGAATATACTCTCTTTTTTTATGGCGCGTCAATGACGCTCTCAAAGCTAATTAGAAGCCACGCGCCGTTCTAATGATATTAATCGAGATTGCGATCGTTGCTTCGCGATAGCGCGGGATGTAAAACGAGAGAATTAAGATTTTATAGCTTGCGTGGGTAAGTTTCCGCGAACAGCGGTGTGGTGGGGCCGTTTTGAGAATTTCTAGAGAATGTTACACCGCGTGGCTTTTAAATTGTCGATTTTAGAAGGTAACGTTATGTACGCAATAAAAACTTACTATAATTGTTAGATGTAACAATAAAAAGTTATTTGTATTAACACGGTATAGGTAGATCGAAATTGTTTGGATTTTGACATTAGTTTATTTCAATATTTTTATTAAATATACAATATATTTATTAATTTTTTTTCTATTGCAAATACATTTTAAATATATAACTAAGTATTACGGCTCGAAATAGTTTTCTAGTCGGCAGAACAGTGGCAGCATAGCATGATGAAACTCAGAACTAAGTAATCACGTTTAGCAGTGAATACGCGTATAATAGAGAGAGAGAGAGAGAGAGAGAGAGAGAGAGAGAGAGAGAGAGAAGGAGAGAGAGAGA